AAAAAAAAAAAAAGAAAAAAAAAAAAAAAAGAAAGAACCCCGCCCAGTGACAAGCCTGGCTGCTGCCCTGTTCCTGATTGAGAGGCGCCCTCTAGTGACAGAACATGGGAATGCCGGGCAGGGCCATGGTGAGGGTTGAGGTGACAATGCGGACAGTGAGAGGGCAGAGTGGGGAGAAGTGGAGAGGGCCCTGGGGTGGCCCAGCTGGGATGGGGGCGGGAGGGGTTGGCCAGGAATCCCTCGGCTCAGGCCAGGCCATTGTGCTCTCCTACCCGAACGGCATGCAGAGGGCCAAGGCGCTGCTGCAGCCTCCCTCTGGCTTCATTTCAACTGTCCGTCTTTGGCTGGGTGACCCCGGCCAGTTTCTGAGCTTCTCTGAGAACTTCAGGAGGTGATTAGAGGGTGCCAACTCTGCAGAGAGTCTCTCCAGTAAAGGCTCTCAGTCCCCTGGAGAATGCGGGAGAAGCTGAGATGCGAACGCATTAGGAGCTGGGGGAGAAAAAGTGTGTGATCTGAAGGTTGTAGGAGGGGCCTAGGCCCCGAAGAAACTGTCTTCTAATTTGGAGTCATCAGCAAACACTGTCTCCAGCCCCCAGTCGAGAAGGGAGGACCAGGCCCCTTGAAAGGGAAAACAGAGGCCAGGGAATTGCAGGAACCTTCCACTCTCATCCTGGTCTTTTCGGAATTTAGAATGTTTAGCCCCCTTGAATTTGAAGTCCCAGGACTCCAGCTCTGGGCCTGGGAACTGTCAGCTGCCTGCTTGGCTGGACCTGGAATCAATGCTTGTTCTCACTGCCGCCCCTCAACTCCATCACACTTAGAAAGGCTGGGGTGGGGCCCTGGAATCGGAATTTTCAAAAAGTTCCTCCAGGCCTGTTTTGGGCCTCCCAGATTTGGGCAATAGATTGAATCCAGCCATGCCTCCTCTTCATCCACCAAGCAGGAAAAATGAAGCCCAGACAGGGAAACAGCTTGGCCTAGACCCCACAGATAGCTGGTGGCAGGCTGGAACTCGAATCTGCACCTTCTAATGCTGGGACCACTGTCACCAGCAGCTAGGATATGAGAAGGGTCCCTGCGATTGTCAACCTCCCGGGTGCCCTGGCTCCTTCTGTGATCCATGGGTCTTCTTCTGCTCCTTCAGAGGGGCTATGGGCCCTCCCCTTTTTTCAGACCTCCTCCCTACTCCCAGAAGTTGGACCCCCTCCTGGTCCCTGGTGTACACTGACTGCCCTCCGCCCTGAGCATGCCATGCAACCACTCCATGTGTTTTCCATTCAGCTGCTCAGATCTCATCAGCATCATGGTTTTGTAACATCCCCCTTGATGCTCAAGAAGATGTGGACATTTCTTTTTCTTTTCTCTTTATTTAAAAAAAAAAATAGTTGGGGTCTTAAAACAACAATACAGCATGTCAGAGCCACGAACTTTTGCAGAGAGAAGCTGGTGGCCCAGCCAGGTGAGGAGGGGCCCTCGCTGTCCTTAGGGTGGAGGGAGGGGAAGTGTAAGGGAGGGTGGACCTTGAGGGGGTCAGGCCCCCACCCAGCCTGACCGGAAGCAGTGCTGATCCCATCTGACAGGCTGCCCTCAGGCTGCCTCGGGGTGAGGGTGGGTGTCCCATCACTGACAGTCTCTCCCCAGGGTGCCCGCGCCCCTCCCCCAGCCCCCAGGGCTCAGATGGTCCTTCTCCCACCAGGTCCTGTTCCCAGCTGCAGAGGTCTATGAGTTCAGGCCAGCAGGTCTGGCAAACGGCAATGCAATTGGGGAGTGCCCCTTCCTGGGATTCTGGGGAGCCCGGGAGGGAGGGGCATGAGGATGGGGAGGGACAGGCTGTGAGGACAACTCACTCATCAGCTGACCTACCCGGGATCTTCCCTGTTCTTCCTGCCTGGGCCTTGGAGTGTGCAGTGACATGCCAATGTGCAGGGTGGAGGTGTCGGGAAATGGGGATCCCCCTTGATCCTGACCCTGCACTACCCCTCATCCCCTCCCTGCAGTCCCCTAGAGTTTCCTTTCTGTTGAGGATGTCCGAGCAGGGCAACCTTCAGATGAAAGCAGAGAGCATGGGTTCCCTGTGTGACCCTGGGCAGGCCCCTTCCTGTCCAGACCTCAGTTTCCCTGTGGGTACAATGAGTGGGAAGTGCAGGGGTGGGGAGTGGAGAGTTCCTTTCAGAGTTCCTTTCAGCTTCGTGGCCTCTTCTGGGCTGAGCCACTGGTTCCCCTGGAGGGGCAGCCCCACCTGATCAGCGCTTGGGTCCCAGCCAGCTTGGGAAGAAGAGGCCTGGGCACCGTGACAGGGAGGTGATGGGAGGTGCTGATGGGGGCAACCAGGCAGCTTCCAGGGGGACTGCCCGCTGCACTGGGTGGCTATGACCCCTGCACTGCTAGCTGGGGCAGGCATCCAGGCCGAGTCTGGCAGGACCTGAGCCTCTTCCAGCCAGGGCTGTGGAAATGGCCTGCAGGGATTGGCCCTGGTTCCGGAGTCACCTTGGCAGCAGAAGCTGGGGCAGAGGTGTTCACCTGTGCTGAGTTTGCAAGGGCCCTACTCCTTGCAAACTCCTTCTTTGCAAAGGTAGGGTCAGAGTGAGGTCAAAGAAAGGCTTATAAAAAGGTGTTTGCTTTCTGTGAGGAGAGGACAGAGCTGCAGGGGAGAGCACAGGCTCAGGGGCTCTCTCTTTGTGGGTCTGTGCATGTGCATGTGCGTGAGTGTGTGTGCATGTACATGTGTGTGAGTGTGCGCATGTGTGAGCGTGTGTGTGAATGTGCATGTGTGTGCGAGCATGTGAGGGAGTGCGTGAGTGTGTGTGCATGTACATGTTTGCAAGTGTGCATGAGTGTGAGCACATGTGTGGGTGTGTGAATGTGCACATGTGTGTGAGCATATGAGGGAGTGCATGAGAGTGTGTGTGAGTACGTGTGCATGTGTGAGTGTGTGTGCATGTGTGTGCGAGTGCATGTGTGTGTGTGGAAGGGGGACAGGAAGAAAGGAGGAAAGGAGAAGGCAGATAAGAGGAGAGAAAGAAGCAGCAATGAAGAGGAGCAGAGGAACATGGAGATAGAAGAAACAAAGGAGAGAAAGAAAGAAAAGGGAGATGAACAGAAGAGGAGTGAGGGAGGGTGGGTGCATGGAGAAGAGGAGGAGGTGGGAGAAAAAGGAGGAGGGAAAGGAGAAGCAGGGACAAGAAGGCAAGGGGCAGGGACCGAGCGGCCTGGAGCGTGGTCAGGGCTGCGGGCCCGGCTTGGGCAGCCGCGTGTCCGGCCTGCGGTCCAGCTTCTTTTCCTTGCGTGGGCGCCGGTCTCTGCGGCCCTTCTTCTGACTGGGGTTTCTCTCTGCAATGAGAGCACAGGCGAGGCTCTGAAGCTGCAGGCCAGCTAGGTCCTGGGAAGCTCCTGGATCCTGAGAGGTGAGGGTGCTCCCCCCTCTCCCCCCACCAGGCTCAGAGGACATTTGGGTGCTGACCTTGCAATCCCTCCTTTTCAGAGCCTAGTCTGCAGGACCAGTCACCCCACAGAGAAGGCATCTCCCTAGCTCTTTAGGGGGCAGGGAGGTACCCTAACTTGCTGAGGACTTGCCTGTGCTAGGCATCAGGTCTGGCCCAGCCAGGCCTGGAGGTTCCATGGACCCCCACCAGGACTTAGGGTGGCTTTGTAGGTTCCCAGGACCCTCCCAGGTGCACTCACATCACCGTTTACCGGGCTCTTGGCTGCAGACGCCACAACTTTCCCCTGGTCCCTGCCCCATCTTCCCTGCCTCCCCTCCCCTCTGCAGGCTCTGCCTTTGGAAACAACAGCAGCAATAAACTTTAACATTGAGCTGGTGCCCACTACATGCCAGCCACAGCCCATGTGCCTGTGCACATCACACTCACAGAGGCCCTGGGAGGTAGCCCCATTAGACAGGCATGGAGGGGTCTAGACTCGCCAGTTCCCACTGTGGAGAGGAGTGGGCTGGGAGGCAAACCAGAGACCACCCTCTGAATCTTGCCCCAGCTGTGTCTCTCCACCCTCCCCTACTCCAAGTGGAGCTGAGTGAATGTCCTACACGAACATCTGTGGGTCCCTTTACCAGGTGAGGCAACCGAGGCCCAGCAAAGGGACTGACTTGCTCAGCGGCACAGCCTGAACTGGAGCGTCTGGGGTCCCGTCTGGTGCTTTCCCCTCCAGATGCCAGACTAGGCAGAGGGACCGACCTGAGTGACCAGCACCAGGTGATGGGGAGGAGTGGACAGGGACCCAGCATGCTCTTTTTAAAAGCCAAAGAGGCCTGGTGGTCCCTGTGCTCCAGCCCCTCCAGGCAGTCCTCTCCTGGCCTGCTTGGCCCCCTTCCTCCCTGACCTAGCCTTGTCCCTGGCCCCTCATCCCCGCTCACTCGGCCCAGTCACCGTGTCCTCTCTCTTCCTCCAGGTCCACGCCACCTCCACACCTGTGCATGGCTGTGCGTGCTGCTTAGAGTGTTCTGAGCTGTTGTTTATCATTATCATCATTAAAAAAATATTTATTTTTTTCTTTTTGTGAGTGAGAGAGACATGGAGAGACAGAAAGAGAGAAAGAGGCCTGTCCTGGGGCACATCCAGGGTCCTCGCGTCTTGATCCACCCCAGCATCAGTTGGCCTGGGACATGGACACCCCTGCATCCAGCTCAGGGAGGTTCCTGATGCGCCCCAGGACCTCGTCCATGTGGTCCAGTGCATTTCCGCTGCGCCTCTGCCTGGCCTGCATTATTATTACCGACAGACGAGGAGACCGAGGTGGGGCTGGGAGTGGGGCCAGCCTACACCTGGGCTGCACGTATGCCCACCCCAGACCAACACACATTGTTTGCCCCTACACAGTTCCCCAGTGAGAGCTGTGTGCACTTGAACACGAGGAAACTGAGGCTCAGGATGTCCCCCTCCGAGGGCACACAGAGGGGCAGTTAGACACTCAGGGGTCTCCGAGAGGGGCAGTCTCATTCCTCGAGTGTCCACAGTGTGCTCTCTCCCCATGGCAGCCCCAGTCCCAGCCCCGCCCTTCTCAGGGCAGGGTCACCCCCTTAGACCAGGCTGCCCCCACCCCAGGGCAGACATGAACAAGCAAACACAGGACGAGCAAGAGACTCCGACAGGTGCCAGTGCTGGGGTGCGACGTGGCAGAGGGGGGCCCTCTCTGAGGAGGGATGTCTGAACTGAGACCTGGACAATGCCGGGAGCCTCAGCAGGGCTGCTGGGAGGATGAAGGGAGCCGATTTACAGAGCACTTAGCCCAGCACCCAGCGCATGTAAGCACTTTATGCACGAATGCTTGCTGCCACTATTTGATTATTATTATGAATATTATTATTTAGAGATTTTTGCCTTAGTGTGTGTGTGCATTCAGAGATAGAGATAGAGATAGAAATAGAGATAGAGATAAAGAGAGAGAGAGAGAAGCAGTGAGAGGGAAAATGAGAAATCATCCCCTAGGGGGTGGCCACCTTGCAATCGCTTCTCCTCTACTCTCCCCCCAGGATCTTGGCCATGCACACACATGTACCCAGCATGGTTTTGAAGCCACTGGGTCTAGGACTTGAACCACAGTCAGCCATGTGGGAGCTCAGCGATGTAATTGCTATGCCATCTGCTGGCCCCTACTATTATTATTACTGGGGAAGGCTTTCTTCTCTTGATGCCCCACAGACGCCATCACCCTATACTACAACGTTAGAGTCCCCATAGCTCATTGATCTCTGAATTCCAGGTCCATTCCTGGCCGGCTGTGTGACCCTTGGGTAAGTGACTCAGTCTCTCTGGGCCTCACTCTCCTTATCTATAAACTGTGGATAATAAGATTAATCCGGAGCATCTCGGCCCTCAGACGCCACGGAGGCGTGGCATGGCAAAGAGCACCGTAGAGAACCGTGTGTCTGGGTGGGTGTTTCCTGGGGTCTGGGATCTCTTAGCTTCTCTGGCCCCCTCTTAGTGTCACTTTCTGTCCCTAACTGCCCAGTAAGACTTCCAGAGGCTCCCATCTCTGTTTTTTGTCCCCAATCCAGACACTACGAGTCCTGAAGCCAGCAATGTATCAGGGTTCAAATCCTGGCTCTGTCACATTCCAGTGTGTGCCCGGGTGAGCTGGTTCCAGGTGCTTCACCCCTTATGACAACTTCAGATTCTCCTCTGCCCACTGACCTTCGCTTGAATTCTAGGTCCATACCTCCCTGACTGTGTGACCTTGGGCAAGTGACTCAGTCTTCCTGGGTCTCACTCTCTCATCTGCAAAATGATGATAATAATAATATCTACTGTGCAGCATCATGGTGCATTAACTCATTAATGAATTAATGACTTACACAGTGCCTGGCGCATAGTAGGTGCACAGTTAACATCAGCTAAGCTGTATTTTTAGTTCCACTAGCCCCACTCTGTGGCCTCTCTTCTGTTTAAATCAGTGGTTCTTAGCCCCTAGGGGATTGGAAATCTGGGGCATGGTCTTGATTGTCACAATGATGGGGTCCCAGTGGTATCCTGGGGACAGGGACAGGGGGTATTGTGTGGGCCAGCCCCCACAAAGAATCGTCCTCCACACTGTCCAGTTCTGTCCTGTCCCACCCCACCCTCACATAGCTGAAAACGGTTTTGCTCAGACCTGACTGCGTTATGCGTGAGAGCCACACATTTTAACGGCTTCCATTCACGGGCTATCCTGGGACTGCCAGTGTGCCATCAGTCAAGGTATCCGACAGCTCGACTGGACTTTACCAATCTCGGGTCGCCACTGAGGTCAGGTCTTGGAGAGCGACATGACCGGGCATTTGAGGCGCTGACCATGGCTCTCGCCTCCTCTGGGATTCTACTTTGCTAGGTGGCCTGGGAGTTTCCATAATTAAATTTTTTTCCTTTCTCTTCTATATTAGTTACGGCCTTATACTGACAAAAAATAAAGAGACCCGTGCAAGCAGGTTACATTATCTGTGAAGTTTGTTTCAGCATAGTAAAGAGGGTGTTTCAAATCCTTGTTATTAAGAGGCAAGTGGGACAAATGCAGTCCTCCTCGGGTATGCAGGCTGACCCAGCGAGGAAAGACCCCTTTGCAGTACACTGGGGAGGGTGTTGCTGAGCCCATCCAAGGCGTGGCCACTGGTGGGCTCTCAGGTAGCCGCAGGTACCATTTAGGGGACAGCATCCTGAGGAGGCTAACAGTCACCCTGGGCAGCCCCCCTCCCGCCCTGTGCTTACCTCCTGGGCAGGGCCTCTGGATGGGACACTTCCTGGACTCGGACAGCACCTGGCAGGTTGCTGCCTCCTCCCGCCCAGCCTGGCCGGCCTCGCGCACCCGCGTCTCCAGCCCCCAGGCTGAGCCGCAGGTCTTCCCGTTGTGTGTGCAGGGACTCCAGCTGCCCCACGCACCCACTTCACACTTCTCTGTGGGGAGAAGGGACACGGACAGACAGACAGGGTCAGTGGCAGTGAGTGTCCTTCAGGGGCCTGAAGATCCCCTTCCACCTGCAGGGGACTTGGTCTGTTAGTAGGAGCAGAGTGGAGACACTCAGAAGGCAATTATTCAGAGTAGGCATAGCAGCTGAGGCCAGAAACCAGTGTGGCCAGCTGTCTAGCTTGAAAAGGGAAGACTTCCTAGAGCAAGTGACAAAACAGCTAAAGGGACAGAGAGGCATCATCGGTGGAGATGAGGGAAACACCTTGTAAGCAGATGGGAAAGCCTTGGGGATGGGGACCTGGGGGCTAGAGTTAGGGGTGAAGGCTCGGGGGGTCAGGGGGAAGGAGATGAGCCTGGGAGGAAGCTCTTAGGACCAGATCCTTAACTTGAACATGTGCCTATGATCCACCTCAGAGGACGGGAGTTGCCCAGTGTTGCTATAAGCAGCTGTAAGTCTGTATTTACGTCTATCTAGTGTAAATATATCTAGATTATATATGATATAAATATATATATATATATATATATACTTTCACATTTGATTATTTTTAAAAAGAATTACTGGACCAGAAGATAGAGTAGCAGTTCTATCACTGGACTCCCACATGGCTGATTGCAGTTCGAGTCCTAAACCTGGTAGCTTGAAAATCACGCTGGGCGCATGCGCATGTGTGACTCAGATCCCAGGAGGAGAATGGGGGAGAAGGGATTGCAGCCCCCACCGTGGCGTGATTTCTCACTGTCCCTCTCACTGTCTCTTTTTCTCTCTGGTGAGCACACAAATCCTAAGGCAAAAACCTCTTAAAAAATAATTATTTATTTAATTGTATTGTTACTATTTTAAAATTTGCTATAGGGCATGGGCATTCATGAGAGGGAGTCAGAGAGAGAGTGAGAAAGCAAGCCACCAGGTCCAGGACTCAAACGGCAGCCAGCCATGTGGGAGTCCAGCGCCTTAACCACCACACCACCTGCTGGCCTGACACATTGGATTCGTTTAAGAGTCCCTGAGAGGTAGGGCTGGAAAGTGGGTATCAGCGAATGCCTGTCTGCAGAGAGGACACAGAGGCCTGCAGCAGGCAAGCCGAGGGGCATGGCAGGGGGGGGGGGGGGGCCCCCGAGCCGCGGGAGGAAAAGCGGGGGGGCAGGGCAGGGCTGGAGGGCAGCCTCCAGACCTTAAGCCAGGTCCAGCCCCCAGGCGCCTTTATTGGCTAGTAAAGATGAGCACCCACTGTGTGCCAGGCACTGTTCTGGGTGCCTCACCCCTCAGTCCATCATCCAGAGACTGCAGGCTGGAAGGGCAGAGCAGCTCAGTGATGGGGGAAGCACCTGGCAGTTGGAGCCCAGAGAGGTCTAGGTTGCAGCCTAGGGGACCATGAAGGCTTCCAGGAGGAGGAGAATCCTGAACTGGTCTTGAGTGTGTGTGGGGGAGGCGCTGGGGAGGAGGGGAGCTAGCCAGGTCGGGGAGCTGCTGGAGGTGCTCAGGTAGGAGGAACAACAGCAGCCAAGTCCTCAGGATAATGACCGGCCTGTGACACTCACCCTGAACTGGACAGGCCGAAACATGAACTGGAACAGGAGGAGGAGCAGATCAAGGGGTGCGGGGTGCGGGGTGGGGGGTGCAGGGTGCGGGTATGGGGACGGCCAGGGATGGGCGGGCGGGCGGGGGCTGTGGCCAAGATCCCATGATCTGATCGCAGTGAGGGCAGAGGGGCCAAGGTCATGGGCGGGGAGAACGGGCTGAGAAGAGCTCATGGGATGTGTTCGGGAGCGTCATACGGCCTCATTCCTGCGCCCAAAGTTCTTCCTGCTGCCCGACTTAGATCCATTATTCTCGTGTGTCTCTCCTGTCCCCTACTGAAATGCCACAGCTACGACGGCAGGGGCCTGGCCCGTGTCATCCACTGCCATGTTCCCCACTCCTAGCCAAGGGCCCGGCCCTAGTACATGGCCTGGCAAAAGCCTTCTGAGTGAGAGAATGAGCAGGCGGGCTTGGACGGGGTGAGAGACGCATCGACGACGAAGCCGAGTCTCGGTCATGGCCAGCCTGGAGGCAGTGAGTCCGGAGCCAGGAGTGCTGGGTGACCATGAACATGAGCCGGGGAGTGCGTGGGTGGGGGCTCGGGGCTCTGGTGAGAATGTCAAGGAACAGCCTCGTGAGGGATGGACCGCAGGAGGGACTCACAGACAGGAGGCTGGCAGGGAGTGTCGGGAAGTGCTCAGAGCAGTAATCAGGGCGACTGCTCACACGGAGGGAAGGTTACCGCGTGCTAGTGACGGAGGAAGTACTTCACATTCACGTTCTCCTCATAACAGCCTCTCCCCATGAGGTAACGTCTCTGCTCTACTGTAATTTATTTACTTACTTTTAAAATTTGCTATAGGGTGCATGTGCTCACTGGAGAGAGAGAGAGAGGGAGAGACAGGGAAAGTGAAATGTGAGAACGCACTTCCTAGGAGGGGTGGCCATGCCACGATCCACAATCCCTTCTCCTCTCGGGATTTTGGGCATGCAGGCACATGCCTGGCGTGTTTTTTCAAGCTGCTGGGTCAGGGACTCGAACTGTGTGGTTGACCATGTAGGGTCCAGCCGCCTTAACCACAGTGCCACTGGCTGGCCTCTATTGTAATTAAAAAAAAAAAAAGTTTGGTGAAAGTGAGGGACAGAGAGCGTCAGTGACTTGCTCAAGAACTCCACTGGGTAGATGGTGAGCAGGATTTGATCCCAGGTCTCATTCCAAAATCAGCGCTCCCCCTCTGTACCCCCTGCCTCCCTCGGCAATATCAGTGATGCCCTGGGGTAGTCACAGGACTGTGACAGTGGTGGATGGCCCTAGCGTCTTGGGGATTACGTGTGTAGGTCCTCATCACCACATGGCATTCTGCTATGTTCCTTCCAGCTCTCAGGACAGCTCCTCCCGAGTCCCTGCTCTGGGCAGGAGGAGGCCCCACTCACCCTGGCACTCCCGGGTGTTCTGGTGGGCCAACGTGCCCTGCGGGCAGGTGTGCAGACACTTTCCCTTGAACAGGTAAAACCGCCTCTTGCACCGGATGCAGAAGTCCTGGCTGAAGCAGCTCTCGCATGTGGACCCACATTCTGTAACAGAGCCGGGCACCTGGTGAGCACAGCCGCAGTGGAGGGGACCCTCTGCCTGCAGCCCCAGGCGCTGAAACATTAGGTCAGGACTCAGAGTCCCCCTTTGAAGTCCAGACTTGGCCCTGGTCAAGTTGGGCGGACGGTGAAGAGAACTCCCTCGAGTAACTTGAAGTCACATGACAAATCTGGGCTAGGAGTGAGACCCAAGGCTCAGATATAGTGAGGATTTGTCCTGGGTCACAGAGAAAATGAGTTAGGAACTGGGCCTTCTTGTCCCCTCTGAGCTAGGCCCAGAGAAGGTAAGTAACACGCCGAGGTCATGCAGTAAAGTGGGGAAGAATCGAAGCGTCTCTGCCTTATTAGCTCCGAGACCTGAGAGGGTCTTGCCTAGGACTGCAGAGCCAGCCTGGAACCCAGCAGGGATCTGGGAGTCTGGCCTCAGGTGGGTGCTCACCTCCCCTCTGGCTGGGCTGGGGCGAGAGGGCGGGACGGCTGGCAGTGCCCTGGAGCCCGGCGCTAGCCCGGGATGAGGGAGGAGCCACGTACTTTTGCACCTGTTGACCTCCTGGCCGCGGATGCCGAAGTAGCCTGGGGGGCAGTCGTGCACGCACTTGCCGTACTGGCGGATACCTTCCCGGTGGATGAACAGGAAGAGCCTCTGCTGGCAGGTGGAGCAGCCGTTCTCCTCTGAGCAAATGACGCAGCCCGTGCAGTTGCCCCCCAGGGCAGTGCCCACTGCCAGCCAGACCAGGGTGGACGAAGGAGAAGGGAGAGAGAGAGGGTCAAACCATTGGTGTGAGCAGTCAGACTGTCTCACCGGGCACACAGCCACCCAGACAAGACTAGTTCCCAGCATCCCTTGCAACGACGGTCATGTGATCAAAATCCGGTCTGTGGGATGTAAGGTAAAGCAGTGTGTGCAACTTCTAAAAGCTGCCTTCAAAGGCAGAAATGTGATCTTTGTCATCCTTCATCCTTTTTATTGGATGCAATGTGAACATGATGGCTGGGGCATAAGCAACCATTTTGGATCACGAGATGGACACCATGTCCTGAAGATAGTGAAGACATAAGATAAAAAAGAGCAGGCTAGCATGTGGCATGATGCTTAAGGCACTGGATCCCATAAAGTTAACTTTATGGTTCGAGTCCTGGACCTGGACCTGGTGCCTTGAAAAACATGCCAAGCACCTGTGTGTGCATGCTCAAAATCCCAAGAGGAGAATGGAGAAGAGGGGATTATTATGTGGTCATATCCCCGGGAGGGGCGAGTTCTTACTTTCCCTTTATCTCTGTCTCTCTCTGGTGAGTGCAAGCACCCTATGGCAAAAACAAAAACAAAAGCAAAACAAAACAAAAAACCCAAACAAAGCAAACCAGGGTCCCGAGGAAGGTAGAAATGTTGTTCTAGCCCTGACCACCTTGTAGACGTTACAGGAAGGAGAAATCGATGTCTATTTTGTTAAAACCAGTGTTACCCGGAGCTTTCTGTTACTCACAGGCCCCCTTAATCTCTACTGCAGCGGTGTGCATTTCCGAGTGAGCACCAGGTGCAATGGTGAGGGGTGGAGTGAGACCTTCCCCTCCATTCCTCATCGAGGGCGAGGGCTCCCACCACACCAGATACAGGCCGCTGAGGGGAGAAACTTTTTTTTTTTTTTTGCTGTAGGGGGCGTGCTCATGCTGGAGAGAGACAGAAAGAGAGGAAGTGAGAAATCATCCCACAGAGGGAGGGTCAGCCCACAATCCCTTCTCCTCCATTCTCCGCTCAGGATTTTGGGCACGCACGCACACGTACATGCACCCAGTGTGAGTTTCAAGCTACCAGGTTCAGCACTTGAACTGGGGTCAGCCGAGTGTGAGTCCAGCGCTTAAACTATCACGCCACCAGCTGGGCCCCAAGGGGAGAAACTTTTCTGTTGCCCTGGAATTGGCAACCTGGACCCGAAGCTGGGGAGAAAGGTGAAAAATATTCCAGGATCTGAAGAGCCTCTCTGAAGCTCAGAGGGGGCTCCAGTACCTGACGTCGGCTCAGGACCCCGGACTGACCTGGCTGTTGGGAGATGGACATACGGGACTTAGGAACGGCTGACCTGTGGCCTTTCCTCTGTTCCCACTGTTCCAAACCAAGTGAGGGGCTGCAAAGGAAGCCCTCACGAAGATGGGGTGGCCTGCAGGAAGCTGCCAGCGTCTCCTCCCTGGCTGGACACTGCCTTGTGTCCAACCCTTCTGTGGGTTGGCGTGAAGGGCGAAGCTGGGAAGGGGGGCAGCTGGAGCAGAGCCTGCATGTCCTTCCTGGTGAGCACGGAGGGTTCTCAGTGGCACAGGCAACTTAGCAGGGGCCAGGTGTGAGCGGTTCTGCTGCCTGCCACAGAGGCAGGGGCTGGCGGGCGCCCCCGCAGGGAGAGCAGCAGAGGCGGCCACCTCCTCAAACCTGACCTTTGGTTCCTTGGATTCTGTGAGCCCCCACGTCCGGCTAACGCTGTCTCTGCTGCTCACAACCCCGGAGCCTGATCTGCAGGCAAGTTCCTAGGAAGGAGTTCAGTAAATAATGTGTCCCCTGGGATCCTGCCCCATGCAGCAGGCAAGGGGACAGTGGTCTCAGTTCTCCTTCCCTGGGGAGAGACACTGCAGCAGGAGAGCTGACGTTTTATGTGTTTCCAAAGCAGTGGGCCTGGCAGGAGCCTGAGGGCAGAGGGAGGGGGAGACTGTGGAGGGCTTCCTAGGGCCAGAGAGGGGAGAGTATGGGCTGAAAATTTAGCAGAGTCCAGACTTCCCATCCACTTGGCAAAACAAGTTGAAATCCTGACATTACTGAGAGCTGGCAAAGATGAGAGGAAAATTTCATTTCTGATAAGAATGTAAACTGTGGAGAGGCCGGCAGGTGGCATGGTGGTTAAAGGTGCTGGACTCCCACATGGCTGACCGTGGTTCAAGACTCAGACTGGCGACTTGCTCTCTCACTCTTGCTCTCTCTCTCCCCCACCCCATTGTCTCTCTCTCTCTCTCTGGTCAGAATTGAAAAATAATGATAACAAATAAATAAATAATTGTTTTTTAAAATAACATAAACTTTGTAAAGAACCTAGCAGTATCTAGTGGATTAAGAATGTGCCTTTTCTGTCCTTTTTTTTTTTTTTCAAAAAAAGAATGATTTAATTTTGTTCCTTATTATTTTTTTAACTTAACCAGAGAGAGACGGAGAGAGAGGGGAAAGTGAGGAAGCAAGCCACAGGTCCAGGACTTGAACCGTGGTGAGCCATGTGGGAGTTCAGTGCCCTGACCACCATGCTACCTGCCAGCCCCTGTGCCTTTTCTAAACACAGGAATTTGGTTCTGGCATAAACCTGACAGTGGCAGTTCTCAGACTCTAGTGTGAATCAGTAGCTCTGAGTGGTGGCGGGTTCCTCTCAGATCATCTGACTCGGTAGATCTGAGGTGGGGCTGACCGTGTGCATTTCCAGTGAGCTTCCAGGGGGTGCTGCTACACGTCCGGGAACCACACTGGAGGACCCCCGTCCTGGAGAAACGCTTGTCTATGTGCACGAAGATGCTTACTGCAGCACTAACAGCAAATCATTGCCCAAACCCAACCTCTAGTCCAAAGAATAGAAACATAGGGCCGCCCACAGCCCTCCAGCAGTGCACAGCCAGCCCTGAGAAGTAAAGGAGGCTGGACACATCTCAAAGACCTGCGGAGAGGAAAAGCATGCTGCAATGAACCACAGGGTAAGCACCATTTATATAAGGCTCTGAGATCTGCAAATCGACACTTTGTAACATTTGTGATGCACCATTGTGTATCAAGAGTAAAAGACATGTAAGAGTCCAGCAGGTGCTGAGGGCCGGATGGTGGCCCAGTGGTAAAAGGTGACAGTCTATGAGGCAATCCCACATGGGGAAGTTCCTGGTTCAAGTCCAGGGCTCTCCCTGAGCATACCAGGGCAAGCTGGAGGCTGGGGCAGGACTGCAGCAGCAGGGCCCTGTTGAACTGTTGTCTCTCTCCTTTCTTTCTTTACTTTTTAAAAAATAGTTTTATGCAGTAGGGCACATGCATTTGCTGTAGAGAGACAAAAAGAGGGAAAGTAAGAAATCACCCCCTGGGGGGATGGCCATGCTTCAATCCCTTTCCATTCTCCTCTCAGGATTTTGGACATGCATACACAAGTGCCCAATGTGATTTATAAGCCACTGGTTCCAGGATTTGAACCACAGTCAGCCATATGGGACTCCAGTGCCTTAGCTACCATGCCACCTGCTGGCCCCTCTCTCCCTCTTTCTGGAAATAAATAAATAACTTGGACAAACAAGAGACTGGGGTTAGCAGGTAGCACAGTAGTTGAGGTGCTGAACTCCCACATGGTTGACAATGGTTCGAGTCCGTATCTAGCAACTTGAAACTCATGTCGGGTGTGTGCGTGTGTGCATGTGTGTGTGTGTGTGTGTGTGTGTGTATGTGTGCATGCCCCAAATCCCGAGACAAGAATGGAAGAGAAGGAATTGTGGTGTGGCCATCCTCTCTCCCCCCAGGTGGTGATTTCTCACTTTCTGTCTCTGGCGAGTGTACATGCCTTATAGCAAAAATCTCTAAAAAAAAAAAAAAAAGAAAAAGAAAAAAGAAAAGCTAGAGACTAAATAAATGCTGATTCAAAATGGTGGTCCACAAGTGGGCATTATTTCTTTTCATTTTTGACCGTAGATTTGAAATAATTCACACCAAAAATAAATGCAAAGAAAGAATTCAGCCTTAGTCATGCCCTGGGGCAGGAGGAAGACCACGTGTTTCTTTCCCTTCTCTCCCTTAGCTGCCCTCTTCAAGCCCAGTCCCATTCTCAAGCTGAGGTTTTGAGCAGGGGAAGGTGACAGATTCTAGAAACATGGGATGGGGTTCTAAGAGCAATGGAGACCCGTGACCCTAAGCACAGTGCCAGTCACATTTCCCAGGCTCCTTTGCAGCTATATATGGTCCCGTGCATGAGCTTTAGTCCTTCCCACCAAGGAGTGACTGATTTGCATGGGAATGTCTCGTAGAGTACTCAGGAAGTACCTGTGCTGTTCCCCTCCCTCTCTGCCTTCCGGTCCTCGCCTGCAGGATTGCAGACCTCATGGCTGCAGCCACGGCACATCCCAACGGCAGAGGCCATTCTGCCGCAGGACTGCTCCCACAGAGGTTTTCTAAGGGAGAGGGAGGAAAGTCCCATCCATCTCGGGCCTTTCTGACACACGATAATGACTGACGACGTTGGGTTTAGACACGCAGGTCAGCACAGGGTGATGTCATCAGAGACCAGGGTGCCTCAGCACGGTGTAACCGGCTGGATCTGAGACATGATCCCCTGACAAATGGCCCCTCCATGGCCTTTAGGTGACCTTTGGCACTCAACAAAGGAGTTCGAAGTACAGCTTATGTTCAGTTACAGAGAAGCTGAATGGTATTGCCTGCAAGTGCAGTTCGTGAGCGGAGACGTACATCCTGACTTGGATGTACTGCCCATTTTGGGTGGTATAGCTCATTTGGCAGCTAAGAGAACTGAGGCTCAAGGAGGGGAAACGACATGCTCAGGATCACACAGAATCGGGAGGAGCCAGTACCCATGTCCACCTGCCCCACACTGCCATGTTAGAGCATTTGCTCAGGGCCTCCTCCCTGTCAGGCAGAGCCTGGGCCTCAGGGGTGAGCCATTCAAAGATCCTACCCTCTTGTAATGACCCACTGCCCACAGAAGGGACAGCAG